TCAAGTTTTTGTCGTAATGAAAATGCTTCTGATGCAATGCGTCATACAATCGAAGCTTTACTGGTCATTTATGCTGAACCCAAATTGGTGAGCACGACTCGTGACATGGATGAAGAATTGGTATCAAAGGATGCGACTGATTCGAAGTACTGGTGTCAAAATTTACTTTATCCTCGTCTATCACCGAAGTGAAATTCGACAAACTATATAATCCGAAAGAACAATCATTCGTTTTATTTCATATTTCAATTGTCAGCGTCGGTTCAAGAAGGTGTCATTGATTAAAAAATAAGACACAATGGTAGAGAGAATCTTTCGATGTTGGTTGAGATAGGAAGGAAGATATATTCTAGATTGCTTGTTTCTTTTTCTTTTTCTTTTTCTGTCATTCTTAATCATATTAAACATATACTGCTTAGAGAAGAAAAAAATAGTCATATCGCCTAAGTTTTAAATTTCCTAGTGATTATCCATCACATAATAATAATAGTGTTTTATTCTAGATTATAAAAAAAAAGATCAATTATTCATTGGTTCTACAATGGCGAAGAGTACGACTGATGCAGCCACAATCATCGATCTGACTTGCGAGATTGATAATAATGTGAGTGACTTTTTTCGTTTTGTTTCACTGTCATTTCAATCTATTATTGAAGTTGACAAGGATGGAATGGTTTGATGATTACTTTGATATTCCTACGGATGAGAAGAACGAGGAAAATCTTGAAGATATCATGGAAGAATACAATGAAGATTTTGATTTTGATCATCTGTATACGAATCTCAACCAAGAAGAAGAAGAAGAAGCAGAAGAAATGTATTTCAAAGAAGACATGATCAGTAACGAGGATCATGACAATAGAGTAAAGAAGAATTAATTTAAATGGAACGGAATTCAGATAGACATAAGTTTCTCCTCTAATTTAGATTGTTCATGAAAAAATTTTATCACAAAAATTCAGTCAATTATTAACCAAAGATGCACATCAGCATGGCCAACAACAAAGAGATGAAGATTATGATGCTGTTAGTAATAATAAACGTCCATTACGGACACTATCACCATTAGAGGTGGTATCGAAAAAAATTCGGCGATGGAATGAGTCTGAAAGTGAAGAACCAGAAGTTGATCATATGCCTGAATATTTTGAACGATTAAATGATATGTTTGATAAAATTATGACCCATCATATCATCCAGCATAGAATAACTATATCCATAGATGATCTACGACAATTAACTATTTCTAAACATAGGATAGCGATGATTGAACTGGATAAAAAACTTTGGACATTCTATTTAAAATTAGGTACAGGTCAATGTGAAACAGTAGAAAGTAATAAAACAAAAGTGAATCAATATATGTGGCCAATGGTTGTAAAAACATTTCATTCATTCAAATCGAATATCAGGTCGAAAGATGAAAAAATGAGTGAAGAAAA